CAAGAAGGCATTATACTAATAGAAATCAGCTCTAGTCTTCAGCTGTCTTCTGTTCACGGTTATCAGAAATTTACTTATTATTTTCAACTCCTAAAAACATCATTATTTTTTTTTTACATGATTTATGTTATCATCAGTATTCACCGATAGATCCACAACAATGAGCTTTCAAAACTCTTCTTGTCTGGTTTTTATTTTATTTTACTGTTTATCAACCCACTGGTGTCTTATTTAAGGCTGAAAACATATTTCAGATTATAAGAATAATTATTAGATTTTTAATTACTTTTCTGGTTAATATTTCATTTTTTTTTAGAATACCAGATTTTTTCCCATTTACACGTCTTATTTTTTAACCCATAGGTTGAGAAGATGGATTCATAATTTTTCAAAGGACATTTGTTCGTAAGTGAATATAACAAACTCGACTGGAATTCGAACTCAGCTCTCAGAAATCTCTCTCCACTACACCTCACATCACCTTCACAGTGTCTGACTTTGTTCTTGTTCTGCTATTCATTCAGATATACTCGTTAGGTAGTTTACTCGCTGTTTCACCTGTTTCTCTTAACTTCACTACGTTCTGTGAGTGTTCAATTCTCTAGGCCGTTTTTTCTCATTATGTGTCCTAGAAGTTTAAACTTTCTCTTTCTGGTTGAAAGTATAAATCCTCTTGTAATTCTTAAAACAAGTCAAGTGAATTCTTTCCACAGCTGCCGTATACTTTTTATACAATTGTGCACCTAATACAATACATATGAGCTACCCAAGCAAGAGGCATACTAAATGAGAATGCTCTAAGATAAATAAAGTAATTTATAATTAATTACGGATGTATTACCTTAATGTCACCTAAGTACCGCGTTAGCTCCAAAACCTGGGTGATGATTGCTCTCCATTATTTCCCGATATTTTTGCTCTAAGTAACTTTTGACAAAATCCATCTTTGCCTTTGTTCTGTCGTCCATTCACACAAACTCGTTAAGTAATTTGTTTTTTACGCTGCTTCTTTTGTTTCAACATGTTCTGTGAGTGTTAAGTTCTCTAGGTCGTCTTTCCTCATTATGTGTGCTAGAAGTTTTAACTATCTCTTTCTGATTGTAAATATAAGTTCCATTGTAATTCTCGAGACTTCATTGATGTTCTTTCCATAATATTCTTAGCATTCAACAGCAGAGCCACCTGAACTATTTTCTTCGTCTGTGAGAATATTGTCTTGCATTCACTGCTATATAGGATATTCAATATTACATAGTAGTTCAGTACTATTATCTTTGTTTCTAATGAAATTATACCATCTCTTAAAACACTGCGTGTAATAGGCTGTATCTAAACAGTTTTAGAGAAAGAATGAATATTCTATATACTTTTGCATTTGAAAGACAATTGGGCGCATTTGAGTTAAGAAGCTACGTTGACTAACAAAGTTTATTTTTCATTTTATTTTTCATCTGCTGATTATACAAAAAAACGAGAAGAAAACATTTTTTAATCAAGTATTTTTGTTTGTTTTTAGTTCGTTCGTTAACAGCGCGCTTTTCCTGGATTCGCACTATTAAAAAAAAAAAACATGTTTTTATCGGAGAAGCATTTAGTAACCACTTTTCCCTCCCACATGTTTGTCAGCTCGTCTTTTTCACTGCAACAAAAGCAGCCGATTGTTTGCATGTACGCGGCTAATGAATGCACCAAAGAGTAATTTCACTGCGAACAAACACAACTCGTATCGGTCATAAAGAACTAAAACACGACTCGTTTAATTATTTGCGTACGAATACTTACAATATACGTAGGGGTCTTAAGATAGAAGTGAATAAATAAAAATGAATAGGTAAATAAATTTGAAAATGTGAAGATACCATAAATATATCATAATAAAAGCAATATTTCTTCTGTGTGACATGTCCATTCAGATCGTCGACAGAACTAGATCTCCACAACTTCCTAAACTTTGTAGCGCTTACAAAGGTTTGTCTTTTACTGTCAATATTCTTCCTCCGATTTACAGAAACTCTGATTGCTGTTTTCCCCTGTCCCCTTTGTCTTTAATATGTCCCGTGAGTGTTACATTCTCCAAGCACTCTTTCCTCATTATGTGCTAGGAATTTCTACTTTCTCTTTCTGATTATACGCCTCCTTATCATTTTCATTTAACTTAAACCTACTCGGTACTCACATATTCACCCCATGTTATTCTCAGTATCCTTCTGTAGAACCACATTCCCTTTGCTTTAAGTTTTCCACTTATCTGTGAGACAATTATCTAGCATTTACTGCAATATAGGAGGACCAATGTTACATAACTCTTCAGCATTGTTCTTCGTTTCTGGTGCTATTTTCTTGTTTCTTAATACTTTGTTTAGCTTCTGTAAGGCAACATTCGCTATTCCAATGCACCTTCGGATTACGTTGTCAATTTTCCGTTCTCTGTTCTATATTTTGGCCCCCAGTATGTCCTGTGAGCATCAAAGTTGCCAACCCTCCTTCCTTATTATGTATGCAAGACATTTCATCTATTTTCACACCTTTGATTGCGGTACTAGATTGGTAGCTAGGGCTCATAATTTCACTAGAGAAATAGATTATTCTTGAGGACTTCTCCTCCGACTTTCTTCTATTACTGTCAAATGAGATGTTCAAAAATTTAAATACGATGTCAGTCGTTATTTTCTGTTCTTTTTTGTCTTTTTTCTTTCACTCTCAGTGACCCTTTAGATCCTCGTCAAAATTCTTTATGAAGAAAGTAATTCGAGGCCCTATTAATAACAATGTTACCAACACAAGTCAAAAACAGTATATTAAAGCACCGACTTTTATTGAATCTATTCTTAAAGAATCTAATGTATGTTTATCTAAAAACCAAACGTAAGTCCATTACATTCACTTACGTGCTAATCCGTTTGAGAAAGGTATGAATCCTCTTCTTCTCCCCATCAAGCTATGCGTAAATAGCAGGACAGACATGGTTCTGCAGCCTTGTATGGCAACTGTTCTACCGTAGAAAGAAATGGCGACGAACTGCAGGAAAATAATCTGCCTCGACAGTCATATATCGAAAGATACATGACCGCCTAAGCGTGTATCACGCATCGCACATAACACTGATATACGTAAAAACATTGCCAAACCAATGTCTAAATAGCCAACAAAGATAATATCTACTAGACATATGGACGCACGCATGTGCTTGCTGAAACACAAACACAATTGCGGATATAAATTATGATCTAAATCCCAAATAGGAACTAAAATTATTATACACTTATATACATAAAGTAATATTTGCGATTTTTCAGGTCGGCTCTGAATCCGTTGATTTCTTGGAGTTTCGAAAGAACGCGTCGTCTCACCTTAAATTCAGAACGCCATAAATTAAACTAACGTTGGTTGAAAATGTGGAATGCACGTGAAACATGACTGACCAATGAAAATCAATCAAACACAAAAGTAAAAAGACCAGAATTTCTTTCTTCTTTCTCTCAGTATCTCATTCATTTTGAAGATTTAATAAAAGGAAAACATGTGAGTTTGATAAACTTTTCCTATTTCTTCCTTAGCTTATCATACACACACACGCACACATACGTACAGGCACATGCACAGGCACGCGCACACATACACACAGGCTCGCACACACATACACACACGCTCGCACACACACACACACACTCACAAACACTTGCGAATATACATCATCATCTGAATCCACTATAGACAAAGTAGGATTATTATACACTTATATAGGTAAAACAATATGCATAAAGCTACCTAGAGGTAAGCTTGGAATCCGTTTTGAAAAAGTCGAATGAACATGACTGACCAATGAAAATCAAACAATACAAAAGTAAAACTGCCAGAATTACTTTTTCTCCATATCTCATTCTCTGCGGAAGCTTTAATAAAAGTGAAACATGTGAGATTGATAAACGTTTCCTATTTATTCTTTATCTCATGAAATACACACACAAACACACACACATATTATGAAATGGACAAAGTCTGATAATTATTTTAAGATATTTTTATCTTTATACCTTCTTTTTTATAGATAGAAATATTTAAGTAAATGCTCTGTTTATAATAACGTCCTGTCAAAGGAAACATATTTTCTATGACAATTTCTCCAACATTCATGCCGGTAAATGTTGTTAATACAGCTTATTATAAACAGACCATTTACTTAAATGTTTGTATCTATAAAAAGAAGGTATAAAAGATAAAATGTATATATATATATATATATATATATATATATATATATATATATATATATATATGTGTGTGTGTGTGTGTTATATATATATATATATGTGTGTGTGTGTGTGTTTATATATATATGTATATATATATATATATATATATATATATATATAGAGAGAGAGAGAGAGAGAGAGAGAGAGATGTGTGTTTGTGTAAGATTTGTGAAGTTTTATGAGAATAAAATTGAAGTCGATTCTGGCATATGAACGTTTCTGCCTATATCATCCATTTTGAAAACGCAGGCCGCATTAAATGCAAGCATTAACATTCATAATGTTGCTTTGACGTCAAGTGCCATATGCACTTAATTCTATAATTTTTGTGGTTACGCATCGTTAAATGATAGCGTTTCTCCGCGTTCAGGTGAATGGTAAATATTTATATTCTTCAGCAAAGGAAAGACTTTAATGTTTTCCGCATTTTTCTCACGTAGCTCAAGGAGAAGTCTTCCGTTCGCAGATATGTCAGAATATGTCTGATTTACTTTATGAAGTCTTTAATGAAGAGCGATCCCCGGTGGGAAGACGAAAGAAATGGCAAACGGGCAGTGAATTGCAGAAGGAAAACACAACACAATATATATTAGTTGGCTACTCGTTTAATTACAGAAACAGGAGTTGGGAGAGGATGAAAAGAAGAAAAAAGTGAGAGAGAGATTGCAAAGGGACAAAATGAAATGATAGTCAGTGTGAAAGAGAGAAGAGGACGGGTAGGTAAGAAGGTAGAAAGAATAATGAGAGTTAGAAAGAGAAAGAATACAAAAATAAGAAAGGAGGGAGGGGGAAGAGGTAGGAAACAGGTAAAGAATTAAAAAAGAAAGAAAGAAAGAAAGAAAGAGAGGGAGAGATAAGAGATGTGCGAAAGAAAAACAGCCAAGTGAGAATATGCAGAGAGAGAATGGGGTGAGAAAAGAAAAGAAAGAAAAGGAGAATGGATTGAAGAAAAGTAGAGCGAATGAGTCGAGAAGAGATAAAGAAAGAGAAGAAGAGAGAGGAATAGAGAGTTAGATGAGAAATGAGAGGTAGATAAAAACAAACAAGCGAATATGTGAGTGTGTGAGAGAGAGAGAGAGAGAAAGAGTAAAGAGAATAGTGTGGTAAAAGATAGATAGAGAAAGAAGAGGAAAATGAAGGGACGAAGAGTAGGGCGAATGGGGTGAGAAAGGATAGAGAAAGAGAAAGAGAAAGAGAAAGGAATGGAGAGTAGAGATGAGAAATGTGAAGTAGATAAAAACAAATACGGGTATATGAGAGAGAGAGAGAAAGAGAGAGAAAGTGAGAGAGAAAGAGTAAAGGGAATGGTGTGGTAAAGCTACATAAAGAGGAGAAGAACGGAGGGAGTGTGGGTAGAGCGAATGAGGCGAGAAGAGATAGAGAAAGAGAAGAGGAGAGAGGAATGAGAGGAGAGATGAGAAATGAGAGGTAGATAAAAACAAACAAGCGAATATGTGAGAGATAGAGATAAAGAGAGAGAGAGAGAGAGAGAGAGAGAGAGAAAGAACCAAGAGAATGGTGTGGTAAAATATAGATATATAGAGAGAAGGAGAACGGAAGGAAGGAGAGTAGAGTGAATGAGGCTAGAAGAGATAGAGAAAGAGAAGATGAAGAAAGATGAAAGGAGAATAGAGATCAGAAGTGAAAGGTAAATAAAAACAAATAAGCTATCAATAGCCAAGTGAATGAACGCGTTGGTTCGTGAATTTGGTGACAATAATTGAATCCCTAATCGATGAGCAAGAGAGTGTGGACTTGGATTCACTGGAAACAGGACGAGCAACGACTTAGACGAGATATCACGAAACATTGGCAGTGAAAGAAGAAGAGTTTACCCTTGTAGATTACACAAAAGACTTCTTTCAAAATTCCCTGTAGATTAATCGGATCGCCATACGCATGATGTAAGCCCGTTGGCTACAACAGCCAGTATGATAATTACAACAAAGATGATGATAATAGTCTGTATGTATATAATGCAACTAATGATAACACATCCTAGAAATTCAGACAGATATTGAGTTGCTCCTTAACGGTTTATCACTCCTTTGCGAATTATTCAAAACTCAAATATATGTTGTTTATTTTACGGTTTATCAACCTTTTGTGAATTATTTAAAGCCGGGATATATATCGATTGTAGGGTATCGCTTAATGTACCGGGTGTTTCCAAGCGGTCCTCCATTTGACCGCACTTGACATTGCTTAACTTCGGTGAACTGCTGATTTCATTGTGCTTTGACAAAAAGAAAGAATGATAGAAAAAAAGAAAGAAAGGATGAGACATGAAGAAGTTGTTTTGTTCAATGAAGGAAGGAAAATGTGTGATTAATTACACACCAAACAAATGCATAAACTAAAAAACAAAACAAAAAATGATAACAATAAAATAGAAAATAAAATAGAAAATAAAGATAATGAAAGTGAAACTGAAAGTGAAAGTAATGTATTTGAGCACGCATGCTTGCTTGTTGCATGTATTGCTTTTCTTTATCTCTGAAGTCTATGACTTTAAAAGTTAATCAATTAATCTTTCGTCTTCTGCCGGAAATTACCAAACTCTTATAATTAGATTATTTTTAAAAAAAATATGATTTGCATTAAGTAAAAATGCGAGCAGACAAGCAAATTTATTTTCGTGTTATAGGTTTAGGTCACTTGTATAGATATCTACTAAGAGAATCTTGGTAATCTCCGGCTTTCTAATGAGTTCGATCTCACGAAGAGCCCCGATTTGGTAGTCCTGTGTCTAGTGTAACATATATCTTTTTACTGTAAGAAAATTGAAATTATAGGTTTTCCTTCCTTAATATTATTGATGGAGTACATAGAAGAGAACTATTTGATAATAAAACAGATCACCGATATGTATAATACGCCTTCATCCATAATACGCACCCCTAGAAGTGTGCTGAAAGTGTTGGAAAATGCTTCTACTGATGTATAACACGCACCTCTTGTTTGGTAATCAAACCTTCTAAATTGTACTTCAATTTCATTACGGCCAGCGATTCCTACTCTTATTAAAACTGGTTTTAAACAGAATAATATTATTCTAATTTATTTTTATGATAATTCTTATTTTATTTTATATTTGTAAGTATTGTTAGGTACATAGGATTATATCTGACATCCTTATGGGGTCGCAATCGCCGAATGTTTGTGTCAAATTGTCGTGTGTTTGAAATCGACTTATGAAACAGCAATTTTTTAAATATTTTTTATAGCTGTGCATAATACGCACCCCTAATTTTGCTTATTATTTTTTTAGAAAAAATTACTAATATACATGGGGAAATACGCTATATAATAAATAAACAGTGTCGAGGAAAATTTTAATTTAAAACGATTTATAAAGCAAAGGCATATACCAAATATGGAAAAACTCAGTGTTTGTTTAATATTAAATAACATTTAAATTGCCCATAAAGCAATTTCTGAAATTGCTTTCATCGTAATGTCCCGTTTCTCTACGAATTTACCTGTAAACTTGTAACTCTCTACTATCTACTGCCTGTTTGGCTCAGCGACTAAAAGACTGGTTTTCTCAAGTAAGACAATAAAGCCACTAAAACAAAAGGGGTTACTGAATATGAAAGAATTAAAAAACAAATATTACTAAGGAGTGGTAATAATATATATAAGAAAACAATATATATAAAAGTTATTAGGCATTTTCCAGTGTCTTGTATTTATATAATTTATGGTGAAAAAGTTGCCCAGACATCGAGAAGAATAAAAATAATCCAACCTGGACGAATTAACCTTCTTTTTTCACTATTAACACTAACCCTAACCCTAACCCACTCAACATAAGGCTTAGTAGGCACTTAAAGTAGGGGGGTTAATAAATGGAATTGTAAAGACGAAAAGGGTCGGAACCAAGAGGCGCATATTATGAAGATAGAGAGGCTAGATAAAGGTTGACCCATGACTTAATGATTTTAAGGTCGTAGCAATCGCGGAAACATTAAAGTTGGAGAAGACCGGCTGTGGTTAGACATATAGATGGATGAATTCCTTCAGATCTATTTTCTTAAGGCACGCCACGTATGGATGAATACCTCTCCGGCTTCTAACATAGATATATAGAGGGAATTGGTCAGGTACTGCGACCCCAAAGAGCACACAGGTTCATGGGGCTGCTGCTGCTGATGATGGCTATGATGAAGATAATTATGATGATGATGATGATGATGCTAGTGGTGGTGGTGATGATGACGGTGGTGATAGTAATGATATTGATGGTAATGGAGGTGGTGTTGATGGTGATGTTGATAATGATGGCGGTTGTGTTGGTGGTGATAAAGAAGATGATGGTGGTGGTGGTGATGATGATATATGGTGGTGTGGTGGTTTTGGTGGTGATAATGATTATGTGATGATGGTGTTGGTGGTAGGGGTGATGACAATCATGATGGTGGTGGTGGTGATGATGATGGTCGTTTTGGTAGTGATGATAATGATGATTATGATGATGATAGCGATGATGAATTATAAATATATTTACAGACATGAGGTTAATATCAAAAACAGTTTACTCTCCATATCGTAAAAGATTTTTTAATTCCTGTTCGTATTAAGATATTTCCATCTAATGGGATTTACAACTTAATATTATATTTATAAGTATTCAGGTGCGATTTAACTTACGATATAAGAAAACCAATTTCTTTTGCTGATATATTAAATATGTGTTCACACCTTTTTTAGAATCTGTACGTTAGCACAACATTTTGCACTAAAGCACACGTCATTGGGTTAAAAAACGACACAAGGTAGTTCTATGAATATTTCATATTTAATTATATACATAAAAATTAAAAAGGGTGTGTTATCTCGTATCATTAAGTGTTATATTATATATTAGCTTTTGAAATTTGATATATTTAAAGCTATGATTTTTTTAATGAAGCATTCTATGTACAATGTAGTTGTGTAGACTTTGCGCAAAGTTTTCATCATTTTCGCCTCTTTTCTCTTCGCGTAATATACATGACATCATAACACTGTCATTGGCCGGAGGTTACAGCCTAAATCGCTTGCAAATTCTCCTAGAAATAACATGACTTCATGAATCCTAAGGTTATTAGTCCTAGAGTTGAGAATTAGTCATTTAGAATCTTGAATGATTGTTGCCCATATCGTTAGAAAATGTTTTAAATTTTCATTTGATTTCTAATGAAACATCCATTGATAAGTCTTGACATTACAGTGTTAAACAGTTACACTGACAGGAAATTGGTGCTTGAAAGATCTACGCAATAACAGCTAAACCGTGAGTGTAAATCTCTAAAGACACCTTTTTTTAATATAAAGCTTACGTTTCACGGATCCTCTTTAAGGTTCCAACCATGAGGTGTGGATTCTGATATTAAATTTAGAAGGGAAATAGCAAATATGTTCAGAAAACGATAACTTTGCTTGCGTTAATTTCAATGGCGTTTTTCCCTCAGCAAGAAATCAATCAACAAATTACTGACTAATCGATAATCGTGGTGAATCAGCGAGCGGGAAAATAGAAAGTGAAGGCTTCACGTCGTGAACACTTTGATCTCTGATGAAACGTCAGGACTTTGTAGGAATAGCATTCTTCATATGAAGAGCTGACGCTGTGAGCTTTTGAAATCATTTCTCGTCAGGAGATCAATCAATACGTACAAGGCATGCTGCCATCTTGTCGTAACTTTGATTTCAGTTTAAAGCTCTTCACATGTACAGTTGGCAAAGTTTTCAGCTAGAAAGTCAATCAAAAAGAGAAACTTACTCCAGAAAAATATTTTGTCACAAGATTCAAAAATGCAGGTCTTGTTTATCCAGTTGGTTGTTAAGTCCTCTGGGTTTTTTTTTGCGTTTTATTTTAATCAGGGCTGATCAAAGGAAGAAAGCCTCTGAACGATTTTAGTTCTAGAATCTAAACTCAAAAAGTTTCCATTTTTTAAATATGCCTAAAAATGACGAAAGATAAACTAAAATATGAAACTATGTAAGGATATACCTCGTGGAACTCTGAGTTACAATATATAATTGGATGTTTAGGATATTAATCTGATGAATAAAAAAGAAAGGGAGAGATTAAATTGAACTGAATATGAGACTTGACAAGGAGCGATGAAATTAATGTATTTATTAAATATGAAATATTCAGCAAAGAACGCTGATCATATAAAATGTCGTGCACAAAATAAAAAAAAATGTTACACGATCCAAAATTTAATTCAAACTATGAAACTTCTTTAAACATGTACCCCAGTTATTCCTCAACTGGCAGTTTCCTCCCATATGCAACATTCAGGCAGGATTGAGAAAATCTGCAACAGGAAATCATCTTGAATTGTTTCTTGATCTGCGCCTGAATATGGCGTAGGAGACGGAAATGTCAGTCGTAGAAATACAGGTGTACGTTTTTGCATAATTCTTGGGAGCCAACATGGCTACAATTGAAAAAAAAAGAGGAAAAGAGAAAAAAAAAAGGCTTAACGAGTGAGTGTAAAGTGAAAAAAAAAGATAAAAGAAAATAAACAGAACATTCCACATGTACGTACATATGCGGAGACGGGTGCAGGGGCGCACGCGCTCGAACACACAAACATCCACACACACGCACGTACATATACACTGTGAAAAAAAACTGCACCAATGATAAGTGCATATATAAAAATATCGAGAAGTATAAGTAGTCAATTTGTGATAGCCTTGACGAGTGGACGGAGTGATTCTTGGAGGATCGATTTACGAAACTCTGGAGTAGGAATGCTGAAGGTAAGGTCAATCAGCTAACTGATGAACATTTTACTTGTATATATATATATATATATATATATATATATATATATATATAAATTAGATACTGATTTCACAGTCTGTGTGATACAAATTTGCGTAAAGCATACTGTCAAATTTATATTTACAGGCCCTCTATACCTTATATTGAGAACTTTTACTCATAAATATAGCATACATAAGAAATATATCACACACACACACACACACACACACATATATATATATATATATGTGTTTGTGTGTGTGTATATATATATATATATATATATATATATATTATCACATGTCTCATTTTGACAGGTTTTGTATACTCATTTTCAATATGATCCTCCCATATTCACGGAGAAGCTTCTTATTATCATTATTAAAGGAAGATAAAAAATACCATGTTGATATATATTCATTTATTCCGAGTACTTTCGACATTAGCTTAATGTCATCATCAGGATGTGTGTGTGTGTGTGTTTTAAAAAAAACAACATTTGAGGTCATAGTTATCTT